GCAGCCCGCCCACGGCACGCGCTCAAGCCCGCACCCTTATGGGCAAAGTGCCGCGGGGACGCGTGGCCACAGTGTGTCCCGGGAGCCCTCGCCCGTCCCTGTGCGCCCCACACGCCCACCCAAGCCCCCCGCTTCCATCTGGCGTCTGTGCCCCCCCCCAGGAGAGTGTCCTACGGAGGTCATGCCCGCGCCCGGGGGTCGCCCTCGCCCCAGCTGCCCGAGGCCCGGCCCCAGGATGTGTCCACGGCCCGCCTGCCCCGTCACGGGCCGGCTGGGAGCCCGCCGAGGCCAGCAGCCACGTGTGGGCGCCGGCCATTCCCGGGGCTGGGTTCTCAGTGAAGGGGGGGGCACCCTCCCCGCACAAGCGAGTGCCGGCCAGAATGCCGCCTGAGCCGGCCGCCCTGAGAGGTGGGCACCTGCCAGAGCCTGTCTCAAGGGCCGCCCGGCCCCGGCATGCCTCGCCGCCTCGGCAAGGCAGCCCCCACCCCGGCCCCCCTCAGGCGGCCCCTCACACTGCATCCTTACCCCCTCCCAACGCCTCAGCCCCGGACCCCGCAAGTCCCTGGGGACTCACAGGCCAGGCCTGGAGCAGGCCACCCCCCAAACCCCCGGCACAGCCCGGCCCCCTGTGCCAGGCCCGAGGACGCCTCGGCAGCACGCACCCCGCCTCCCCTTGTTTCGCTTCCCCGGGCCCCCGCTCACGCCGTGTCAGTGCTGTGCGTCGTGGCTGAGCGCGTGGCCGGCCGTGCGCCGGGCCGGCCCGGAGCTCCAGGGCCACCGGCCGCGCTTTCAACTGGCCGCGTCCCGTCTTCTGTCGCAGGAATAACAGAGGAAGAGCGACAGTTTCTGGCCCCTCCGATGCTCAAGTTCACCAGAAGCCTGTCCATGCCCGACACCTCCGAGGACATCCCCCCCCCACCGCAGTCCGTGCCCCCGTCTCCGCCGCCGCCGTCCCCCACCGCCTACAACTGCCCCAAGTCCCCGACGCCCAGGGTCTACAGCACCATCAAGCCCGCCTTCAGCCAGAACCCCCCGGCCCGGGTGGCGCCGGCCGTGCGCTCCGACACCGTGGCCGCCCTGGTACGGGACAAGGGACCGCTCTACCGCCGGGAGCTGGACCGCTACTCCCTGGACTCCGAGGACCTGTACAGCCGCGCCGCCGCCCAGGCCAACCTCCGCGGCAAGCGGGGCCAGCTGCCCGAGAACCCGTACTCGGAGGTGGGGAAGATCGCCAGCAAGGCCGTGTACGTGCCCGCCAAGCCCGCGCGGCGGAAGGGCATGCTGGTGAAGCAGTCCAACGTGGAGGACAGCCCCGAGAAGACCTGCTCCATCCCCATCCCCACCATCATCGTCAAGGAGCCCTCCACCAGCAGCAGCGGCAAGAGCAGCCAGGGCAGCAGCATGGAGACCGACCCGCAGGCGCCAGAGCCGCCGGGCCAGCTGCGGCCGGACGACAGCCTGGCCGTCAGCAGCCCCTTCGCCGCCGCCATCGCCGGGGCCGTGCGCGACCGGGAGAAGCGGCTGGGGGCCCGGAGAGACTCCCCGGCCTTCCTGTCCACCGACCTGGGGGACGAGGACCTGGGCCTCGGGCCCCCCGCCCCCCGGGGCCGGTCCTCCCAGCTCCCGGAGGAGGGAGGCTTTGGCGAGGACGACGGTACCGAGCCACCGCCGCCCACCCCGGGGGGCCCGGCCGGCGAGCCCGAGGACCTCCTCGCGGGCGGCGGCGAGGCCGGAGCACAGGGCGAGGCTGGCAGGCCTCTGAATCCCACGCCCAGGGCCAAGGGGGCCGAGGGCGTCTCTGCGGGGGCCCCGAAGAGCAGCGCCGCCGGCAGCTCCGAGAACTACATCCACCCGCTCACCGGGAGGCTGCTGGACCCCAGCTCCCCACTGGCCCTGGCCCTCTCGGCCAGGGACCGGGCCCTGAAGGAGTCCCAGCAGGGCCCCAAGGGGGAGGCCCCCAAGGCTGACCTCCACCAGCCACTCTATGTCGACACCAAAATGCGGCCCGGCGCCGAGGCTGGGGTCTCGGCGGCCGCCAGGCAGAACACGCGGGGGCCCCTGCGGCGACAGGACACGG